AATTAGAAAAATGGTGCCTATATTCTAAAATAGAATAAACAGAAAATTTATATACTAACTACTTATAAACTATACTACTCTAAGAAACCAACCTGATCAAACTAAACAAAATTGGTTACTCTTCCTTGACTAGCAAAAGGCCTTTAACAGAGTTAGCTATCAATTTATGAAAACTGTCCTGAATAAAATGAACTTTGATCACAAGTTCAGCAAGATTATTGACTCTCTCTTTAGTCTACAACAAGCCTATATTATGGATGCAGGATATCTCTCTGAGCCTTTTAGAGTAGAAAGAGGGGTCAGACAGGGTGACCCTCTCTCTTCTCTTCTATATGTCTTGGCAATTAATTCTCTCCTCCAATCTCTACAGACAAACCTTAACGGCATCAAAGTATTAGACTCTTTCTTCAAAGTAGCAGCTTATACAGATGACCTAACGATTGGAATTAGCTCACCTCCAGATTAGAATTCCCTCAATAACACTTTCAGCAAATATGAATCTGCCTCTAACTCTAAAATTAACAAGTCAAAATCTATCCTAGTTCCTCTCACAGACAATGCTCGCAGAATTGAGCTCTGTAATCAAAACAGATTCAAAATCCTTACTCAAGATACAGACACACTTTCAATCCTAGGCTATGAAGTAGATATCAAAGGTGCTCCAAAAAAAACCTATGGACAAAAATAACCAAATTGATTAAGGATCATATTAACAACCTAATAACTAGAAATTTGTCTCTTAAAGACAAAATCCTAATTACAAAATCACTTCTAATCTTGAAAATATGGTATGCCGCTTATCTACTTCTACCTAGTAGAAAACAGCTTGAGGAAATTAACAAAATTATAATGAACTGGATCAAGAACAAATCCAAGTTCTTTCTTTGCTACTCGACCTTTCAGCTTAATTTGAACCAAGGAGGACTCTCTGCACCAATTCTTAAAAATATTATTGATGCTAGATTAACCTCTATTTGGATCAAACTTCTCACAAGTAACTGTCTATAGGCAAGAATAGAAAGAAATCTAATCTTGAATAATACTCATACTGCAAGAGACATTTTAACACATTTTGCATTCAATCAGAACTCTGCTAGATCGAAAGGCTGACCAGAGAGATGGAAACCTTACCTCAGAGCATGGAAGAGACTCCAAGGCAAAGTTGACTGGCCTTAGGCTCCAGAACACCTCAAAATGAATACAATGTCAGGAATAGAGTTCACAGTTAAAAAAGCAACTGAACTTTTGCTATAGCTATATCCACTCAGAGAAACCTCCAGCCTTGTAGAGCTTTCTCATAGCAATAATAATTCCTTCTTCTGGATAAAATTGAAACATATACTAAACAAAAAAACAGATATTTTCTGGCAACTGGCTTACAAAGCCCTTCCCCTAGGTTACTGACTGAAACATATTTCACAAAACCAAGATGGATGTTGCTCTAATTGCTAAGACTCTCTACAAACTCCAGAACATTTTGCCTTTGGGTGTGAGATTAGTCAGATTTTCTGGACTGCAGGTTACAATGCCTTAAAACTCACAGAAGCTGACTTTAAACCTACCTCCTTCAGTGAAATTTTTACTGCAACTAATATTACTCATGCTCCGAAATGGAAAGCTGCTCTATGAATTCATATTAACATCATCTATGAAATCTGGTGCTGGTATACCACAGCAAAATAGGATGACTAAAAGATTCCTGCAAGTGCTATAACAGACCTTGCTAAATCTAAACTACGAAGAATACTTAAAACTTAACAAAAATGCTTAGCACTGAAAAAGTCTAGTTTAGACAAAGATAACATAGCAAAATTTCTAAATTTTAATATATAATTTGTATAATTTTTATTTTATTCAATAAAAAGACGCATTCTGCGTAAAAAAAAAAAAAAAAAAAAAAAAAAAAAAATATTCAACTTTCTAATTATCATTAAACCAACAAGAATTAGAGGCTCCAATTATGAAGAATATGTTAGATACAAGATTACTAACAATATAACAAAAACTTTTAACAGGAAACTCCCTATAGGCCAAGTTTAAAAGGAAAAGAATTACTAAAATTCTAAAAAACAACACATTTTAACTCTCTTCTGTTCTCTCTGGCTGAGAGACCAAACATAACAAAATAACAAAAAAACATACAGAAAATTTCTTTTTAGATACTAACAGGGCTAAAGTCTCTAAAGTTAGAAAGAGAAAACTACTCATGAGTACTATGAGTGTCAACAAAAACAAAAGAACTAAGCTCTTAAATGATAAACATAATAAAAATACAAATATAGAAATAAGATATAATATACTAAATTTAGAAATAAACTATAATAATAAAATATGTAAAAACGATTTTATATAATAGAAAATAGATAGAAAATATAGATTAATAAAAATTAAAAGGTGACAGTAAACAGGTCTAACTATCATTTAGGTTTGAGTTGATCATAATTGTTGATTTCAGGACTATCTGTAAAGTCAAGTAGCTTAGTTTTGGTTGCAGTTTCTGTGCTTAAACTGATTAGTTCCTTCATATAACTTTTGTTTATATCATAATTCACATGTTGTTTTGTTGTTTCTTTTTTAAGAGAAGAGGCAAAGCTTTCATTGTTTTTGCTTGAAGAGGCCTCTACATAGTCTATTTGCTTGTTTTTGCCTTTGTCAAACATTTCTGCTTCAATTTTGTTTGCTCAGTTGTTGTCTTTTTGCTCAAAAGTAGTAGTATTTTTATTATTTGAAGAACTTTGTATGTTTTCCTTATTTTCTTCTTCTGGATACGAAGAAAGGTTGAAAATTTTCTTGTTATCTAAATGTATTACAAGAGTTTGTAAGAGGGTAATATCCTTGGGATAGTATCTGGATAGTATCCAGATAGTATCTTTCAAATGATCTACTAGATAGAAATTCTGAGGTACTGTACATCAAATGATTGTCACTTTGTGGTAGGATAGTACCCAGATAATATCCCTATAGCATTAGTTACACCTATATCGTTTTTATAGATATAAATACAAGTAGAATTCCCCTAGTTCTCTTCATGTTTGAATAGTCCTGTAGTTTTATTCATAATTACCCTTAGATAATAATAGTTTCTTTGATTATTATTCTTTTATAATTGAATAAGTTCTTTATATTCTTTTGTAGTTATTAAAACGTCTATATAATAAAATACTCTTTATATTATATTCTTGAAATATAAATGACCTTAAAGTTATATTAGTAACCTACTTTAACAATACATCTTGTTAATATTGACAAGTTTACTTGATGTGTTAAAATACTTTCTTAAACCATAAAGAACTCACTTTTTTCTTTTATTTATTCTTTTGTTTAGTATTTAGTTAGTTGTATCTGTGTGATCCTATCTAAATACTTTGGAACTTTTCTGCAATTCTGTATGAATTGTGAATGTTATTTAGTTTATTTTTTTTAAATTGTCTGCTTAATATTTGACACCAGTTGGGCTTATTCAATAAAAATGTTAGTCAGGACTTTCATCTTTTGAAACAACCAAACTATAACTTGTAATAAAATCTTCATCCTCATTTACTTCATTATCATCCTCCTCATCATCATCATTATCATTATCATCATCCTCATTATCATTATCATTATCATAATTGTTATCATTATAATTGTTATCTTTTTCATTTCTAATATTCATTTGAGTAGTATTGTGACAAGGAATTTCAGCTGTTCTATTACTATTACTAACAGTAATTTTATGATGATTAAAGTTGATGATAGCTTTTGCTTTATGTAGCCAGTCATTGCCAAGAACCAAATTATAGGCATTAGTATCAATTACTTCCATATCAGCAGAAACAACTATATCTCCCAAATAAACAGGTATATCATCTACTATTCCTTTACTTAATCTTTTAGTAAAGTTATAAACTTTATCACTTTCAGCCCAATTATTTTGTTTAATTAGATATTTAATATCCAAAGCATACTAGTCAACAGATTCAATGGGTCCTTGAACTCGATTTTGTAATTTACTTCTCTATTGTAAAAGTTTTCATTGAGTATGAAATTTGTTTAAGAAAAGATTTTTGAAGTTTTGATTTAAATTATTAGACCAAGATTAGAAGTTAGTTCCAACATTTC